GGTGATATATTATAGTGACGATGAATTTGCGAAATCATTATTGACAAAGAGCAATATTTTTTTTCATTTCTTTCTTAGTGTTTCTTATCATGTCTGTTATCTATTCTTGCTTTGTTTCAATTCTCAGAAATGTCCCTTGTTCTGCATATGGTATTGGTTGTGTGCAGAGTCTACCACATATTATACTGATAATTTGATATTGTTCAGTAACCATTGTTAGTTGATCCTAATGTATTTTGTATGATTTTTGTGGTAAATTTTTGTTTTTCTCAATTGTGTGTCCTGCTGCAGGATCATTGACTCATATGGAAGGAGTGCTCCAGAGCCATCAGAATTTGACCAAAGGTTTGTAATTTACTTTTAGTATTTCTGGAAAGCAGCAATAGGATTTAAAGAATTAACTAAGTCACTTCTACTAGTTAAATGGAAGAAGATGAAAGTTGACCTTTAATCTTTTTGAATCATTTCCATAGTTTATCATATTTTGAATTTAATATAGTTCAATAAGTGAGCTGTCAATGAAAGATGTAATGGTAGCAATTGGAAACCAGTGGAAAGTCTGGAAACCATTTGAGCTCTCTCGGTGTGCATTTATGACTAGTGTTAAAGCATGTTTTGGTGGTATGATTTAGGACTCTTTTTATTAAGTACTGAAAAAGGGTGTTGCCTTCCTTTTTATTTGGTTAATATTTTGGTCCTAGTATCAGGTAAAAGCTTTGTTGATGATTCTGTAAAAATTATTGTGGTGCAAATCTATTTGCACAAAGCAACAATAGTTTCAGAGTAATAACCCTTTTATATTGGCCTTTTATTATGCAGCGAGTTCAAGGAACTTGAACCTGTCCCATCCGCGGCAGTTATTGAAAGCCCATTGGAGCCATCACCTGGGATATCGTCAGCTTCCATTAATGCCTCTGGTGTAACTGAGATTAATTCTATCTCAAATTTGTTCAATGTACGTACTTGGAAAATCTTGAGATATAATTTTGTTAATTAGTGTCACTACTTCAGCCTAGTTTTTTTAAAAAAAATTATCTTTTTAATTTTAATTTTTGTTTGTCAACTTCATTTGTGTGTGTGTGTATGAGCTTTTTGACCTGCTTTGTCTCTAGCATGTTAAATGTTGATGTGAGATGTTGAGTTCATCATTATTTGTTCTTTGATAATTTTGTAATGTTTTGATAATCTAGCATCTCGAATTCTGCTCGACATTTCTAATTGAAGGCGGGAGGTTATATTGTAATCATCTAGCATCTCGATTTCTGCTTGACATTTCTAATTGAAGAAGGGAGGGTATTTGTATACCCTTTCTTTTTTCACATTTTTTTTAATCAAAATTATTTCAACCGGTTATCTTGTTATGTTTTTTTTTTTTTTTTTTTTTTTAAAATTTTTATAAATCAGATGGTTCCTTCTAACAATTCATGTTAGCCGACCCCACGTCATTTTGAGACTAAGGCTTTGTTGTATGGTGTCTATCCTTATCTAAGCTTTGGATGAGTCCATGCTTATGATAATATGCACCTGAAATTCAGGCTTTGGAAAAAGAGTTCCCTTTTATATTTCAAGTAGCTCTAAATTAACAGACTTTTAGCTGGTTTTTTTTTTTTTTTTTAATGCTTTATATTTTGAATCATCTATGCTTCGTCCATTTTTTTTTTCTCATTGATTACACTTTTCCTTATCTTAAAAGAAAATATTTCAGATACTGTGATTTAAAAATGTGAAATACCTTGAAACTTATCCTCCATTGAGGCTGTAACTTAGTTTACTTGCTACTGAGGTGCTTTTGCATAATATATGACTTTTCGTTGCATGAGTATTAATGTAATCCTTCAAATATTACGAGCTTGACCATATATGATTGGCAAATTTTACTGATCTGTCAAAGACGTTTTTATTTAGTATCTTGCATATTGATTTTAGAATGCTGTAATACTGCATCACCCTGTGAAAGCAAGCAAGTAAATTTATCTGACTGTTGTGATGTTTTTTTTGTATTATTCAGGCGGCAACCAATATTTCTAATTCAGGGAAGCCAGTGCAAACTTATCATCCTTCCTGTGAACATTTGACATCGATAGGCAGTTCCAGTCTGTTAACTGCACCTACTGGACTTCTTCAAGTACCTGCTGTGGCAACATCAGCTCCAACCTTTCATCTAATTCACCACCATGAAGGTCCTGATTCAACTTACAGAGGCAATCAGATAGCAAATCTTGTCACACCTGCTATCTTTCACAACCCCCATTCTTCATCTGCCATGTCACAGCCACCCGTTCCATCCGTGCCACACACTGCTCTGCAGCCTTCGTTGACTCTCCAGCGCCCGTACGGAGCCCCATTTCTCCAACCTTACCCTCCACCAGCACCATCGCCATTTCTTACACCACAGAATATTGCTGCACCAACCCAAGGACCTGTTATTGACCGAGGCAAAGTTCGTGAAGCTCTTATGACTCTTGTCCAGGTTAACATCCCCCCCCCCCTCCACACCCCCCCCCCCCTCCGTGGCATTTTTATCATTTTCCGTTTGACTGATGTGGTTTTCTAGCCTGCTATAAAACTTTGTTACTCTGATTATGTTTCATTTATCAATGAAAATTGCTGGTTAATGGGAATATGAGACCAAGCTGACACAAGTAAATAAAGTTATTATGAGACATATTCTTAACTTATCAAGGTTTTTTTTTTTTTGTTTTTTTGTTTTTTTTTTCCTTCTAAAGCACAGATCTCTGGGAGTGAATAGAATGAGTTTTGTGTAGAGTGGAATTCACATGTGTTACTTTTGACATATTCAGGGATAGGGGTGATGCTAAAAACACGAATCTGTTAGTTTACAACTTTTACTGCCTCCATTCTCCCTCTATTTTGTCCACATTTAGCTGAACAGGATTGACTTCACAACTTCCTCAGAGTTTGATTAAGCGTGTTAGGGGTCATGTGCTTTTTGTGGTCTAGCCTTCTAGGTGAAGCAATTTCGATGAACCGCAGCTAAAATGTTGCTGACACAAGGTGCATAACAGTTTTTTTTTTTTATATTTTTTTTTAAAAAAATTGTTTATATATACGCCTCACTTCAACAAGGTGCAGGGAACTCTGAAATGCCTTGCTGCGCCTTGAGCTTTTGCCTTGATCATCTATGCCTTCTAATATTTGGACTTTGTTGTCACATGTTTTATTTTGTGGAAATTTGAACAATATTATTTACCTGTGGTAGATTGGATGTTCTGTATCCTTTGTGTTAATACTGCAATAACCATTGCTGCAAATTGTATGGTCCTTATGATCACGAAACATGATGTTTTTGTTCCCACTATGTTGTGAAGAAATCACAAATATGAGGCAATCATAATTCATGGTCAAATACTGTCAGTGTTTTGCTGCTGAGCAATTTGGTGCATGTACCAAACCTTCAAGTTCTCGCTTGATATACAAAACTAGTATTTTGCCTTGGACATTATACCTCATTATAAAATCATATCCAGTTTTGTGCATGATATATCAAACATGTTGTAGTGGAATGGTAAGGTTTGCTCTTGCAACTTTGATGTCATAGGATCAAATTCCACTTAGAGATATTGGAGTTGGAATTCCCTTCCCTCCCCCAATATCTAGAGCGTATACTTTGACTTTTCTGATGGGGCTTCCTGTGATAGGGCCCCTTTCTGGCCTAGGCCTACTACATTACATGAACAAAAAAAGTATGCGTTATGAACTCAAGTGCTTGTTTGTTGCTTAGTGCTCAAGATTGTAAGGGATGCAGTTGTTTAAATACTCTATTTATACTTGTATTTAGGCTGATATAATCTCTGTTTTCTTATCCAGGACAATCAATTCATCGATATGTTCTGCAAAGCATTACAGCAGGTGCACCAAGTGTAAACATATTGTAGAAGTGACCAAGTGTTCTAAGGACTAAGGACGCATGTACAGGACGTGTATTTTCCATTCACATTTTGGGTGCAAAATACTAAAACAGGAAACTAATCCTACAAGGGATTCCAGCATCTCGTTGCATGTTAGGGGCTGAAATTCGCCATCCGATCTTCTGTGGGAGTTTGTTTCCGGCTTGAATTGCCAACTTTGGAAAGAGCAGTGCATAATCTATGTCAGTATGGTAACAGTGTGTCGCTGTTGAAGAGATTGTCAATAACCTAGTTCGGTCCATCTTAGCTTTGTTATGGGATTAGTGTTATCATATGGGTTTGTGGTCTATGTAATCAACTTTACTTCTGAACTCCTTAGGGATATACTGATAGCCGATGCTAGCTCAAAAAAAAAAAATACAGGACTATTGTAGACAGTTAACTTTCTCTTATTATGTTCACAAAAAGAGAGATTTAAAAAAAAAAAAAAAAAAAAAAAAAACAATTGCAGCAAGTTTTGCAAAGCTATAATATTGCTCTAATTTTATTGTTGATACTTGATAAGAGAAATGGGAAATTTGACTATATATTGGCTTCTTGTAATGCATTTATGTGTCGTAAAATTGATGCTTGGTACTAAAAATTTATCATCTAGAAAATTGCCATGTTTTTAACATCAAATTTTGATTTTGGAATTCCAATAATTTGAAGGCCGTTTTTTTTTTTTAATTGACTTATGAATTATTTTACACTCCCTCCATTCTCAGTCAATTGTTTCGTTTCTAGTTTTAAACTATCAACATTTTTTCTAAATATTTGTTTTGTGATTTACTAGAAATTTGTATTTATAAGATTTTGCAAAATTCATTTAAACATATACTTTAAAAAAAATCTATGAACTTTTTTCTAAATTGAGTTTCACATAAAATAATACTGAAAACTGTAAATTGAGAAGTGTAAAACCCTATTGAGCAATTATCTAAGTACAAAATAAGTTGACATAAATTCATTCCTAAAATAAAACCTAACAAGTAGCAACAACAACAAGATGCTTTAAGCATTAGTTGGAATATTAGCTCCATTTTTATTTATTTTTTTACTTTTTTTTTTTTTTTAAGCATCTTGTCAAAATAAAAAATAAAATAAAAATAAATAAAAAAATATCATGATCTCTATATCGCTTGTTTTGCCCCTCTCTAAAACACAGTAGTGAATAATGTGAAAATGGCGGTGGCGCTAATCAGAAGAATCACCAGCAACTCCGTCGTAAACCCTAATTCCTTGCCTTCTTCTCTCCTTTCTCGCAGAGGCATCGCTTCCAGACTCTTCGTCGGAGGTATCTCACTCTCTCCTCTTTCTCTTCTATTGATTCAATCGTCTTCCTTTGCAATTCTTTCGGAGCATAAATTTACTTAATTTTGATTATATGAACAAAATAATACATTTTTGAGGAAATTTGTATAGGAATGTGTTGATGTTGAAGCTTAATTTGTGTGATCATATTGTATAATTGATTTTATTTCAGCAAATGCGAAAATTGATTAGGTCTTTAGTGTTGAATGATACAGTACTCTTATGAATTCCGTCTCACTTTAATTGGACACATTTTAATTTTGAAAAATTCTAATATAATAGGCTACTTTTTATATCCAGTTATCTACTATCGAGTATTATTCGAGTTAGTTGAATTATGAATTGTATTGTGATGACTGATGAGGTGCTTGTTCTTGACAATAGTATAAATAATCATAGATTTTTGTGGTATTTCAAGCGAATTTCTTAAACATGATCACCTGCAATTATCTCTTCAATGAGTGTAGTTGATCTAATCTTCTAGAGTAAAAGATTATTACTCTATAATATAGAATGAAAACACATTACTATATTAGCTACTAAAATTGAAGGATGAGAGATACATAACTAGGGGTGGTTATTAGGAGGGTCAGTGCGGGTCATTAGCGGGGCGGGTCGGTTGCGGGTCATGATGAATATTTAGTGGGTTAGCGTCGGGTCAGGGTCGAGGTAAAAATGAAACGGGCCATTAACGGGCCAATGTGAAAGCAGCAACAATCAACAAAACAGCCGATACAATTCGCAGAAATTGAACATCAATAACTCAATCGAAACCCTAATTCTTCAGGGATTGAATTAAACAAACAATCATCCGATCAGAAACGATCAACCAATCCAAAACCTAAAGGCAGAAATCTGAAACTGAAGAAGTCTGAAAAAGTAAAAACTAAGAACAATAGAAAATAGCCAGTAATGTAAATCTTACCGAACTGAAATCAATAAAAATAACAATCATAATTCTACGGCTAAAATAAATATCAAACAATGTCGATCACCAAAATTGATATTATAACATAATTTTTTTTATTAATTTAATCTCCTAATAACTCAAATTAAACAAATGAATTACCAAGGAAGACCAGTGAGATCATGTAAAACATCAAGCACGGAAACAAAATAACGAATCGGAAGAACATAATCATCTAAAAGGCTACCAACAACATCGGAAATCTTAGAATCGTCCATAAACCCTAATCTATGGAGCTCCGACTCAGTGACCGAGTATGGAGAAGAAGGGGGGAGTGTGATCGGAGGTGGTCGGTAATGGCGGAGAAGAGTATGGGGAGGAGGAGAGAGAAAATAGGAATGGGCGGAGGAGATATTGGTGACCCTTTAATTTGGGTTTTTTGACCCTTTAATTTTTCTTTGATATTGATGGGCTGTCAATAAAAGCCCATTATTGACCCCATATCTTAAAGCCCTTTAATGACTCTGTCCACTAAAATATTAAAGGGTCAAGACCCTTTAAATTTTGGGCCGACCCTATTATCAAAGGGCAGCCCTGTCCATTAACCACCCCTATACATAACTAACAAAACTACACACTGAATAATATAGGATTAGGACTATATCGACAATCCCTATGACTAGGAGAAGCTTGACTAACTAGAGGTTGCATGAAATTTATTGATACTGAAAGCTTCAAGCTTCAACTGATCTTTAGAAGCGAACAATCTTGAAATGTTTGGTAGATATATTACTGATCTCTCCTTTCATTTGTGGTACTGTCAAAGACTGATACTTCATATGGATTTCTGAGAGTTTGATAGTTGAACTGTTGTTGTACAAACTTTGCAGCTCCCCTTGCAAAACACGAAGATGTGTAGCATCCTTTGGGTGTTATAGCTTGACAAGCATGAACTTTTTTATAACAAGCTATTCTCAATTTATGGTGTTGAAAGAGCAATAATTTTAATGTTTATCTTGGTGACAACAATCTCAGCCCCTTTAAACATCATAATAATACGTCTGTGATTTCTCTTTTTGTCACCTTGATCTCCTGGTAATTTACCACACAAGCTTGAACTTTCAGCCTTTCTCCAAAGCACAATATTTGAACCATGCAAATAACATCAGATTATTTAGATCCTCCAATCAGCCAAATTTTGTTCAAGTGTAATCCATATATAATACCTTGGGGTGTGAAGGAGCAACTCAAACTCTAAGCTCGAGCTTTTAGTCAATCATAAAAAATTCATTTAAGTTTTGTTAGGAATTGTTGTGTTTGTGCTTGGCTTGTTTATCAATCAAGCTGAGCTCAGAACAAGTAAATTAAGCTCAATGACAAGATTAAATAATTAGAACTTATTGAATCACATTTAGGCATGTTAAAAGGTTATGTGTGGTAAGCTGAAAATCACTTAAAAAATGAATTTCCAGAAAGATAAGTTAAAAGCCAACAACTGAACTAGTTAAGAAATCTTCATAAACGAAAAAAATGTGCTTCTTGTTCATGAACACCAATAAACAAGTGTCCATGAATAACTAAATAAGTTATTCATGAATATACACGAACAACTATCCCTATGTTCGTCTTCAAGCTCATTTATTAAACGAGTTTTAAATTTTGTTCAAACTTGGTTTATATATTGATTAAAACAACAAAATGAGTTCTAGCATACTTGAGCTGTGAGTTTGGCATTTTCTGAAATGAATGAATATTGCATTACTTCTACCCAAGGAAGTAATGTATCATACCTAGCTTAGCCTTTTGACTCTAATGTCATAGACAACATGACTTCTCACATTCAACACTATCGGTTTCATTATGCACTATGCACAAACAAGACTGATCAAATAGTGTATGGGCTTTTAAAATACTAGCTGATGGCTTTTGATAGTACAGAGGATATGAAACTGTAAAAGAAAGTTGGGCTAAGAAATTGGACAAAATGGTACATGTCGGGAAATGAACTACTTTTGACACTCTTCAATTGTTAGGGAAGAGGCCAGGAGGGTAAGAGTCAAAAACAAGTTGAAAGTCCATTCTTTCTTAAAGGAAGAAAAGACAAACATTTTGGGTGAAGTAAGAACTCTAGGCTTTTTTTAAAGGCATGCTTAAGATTGGACTTCTAGAGAAGGGTGTTTACTGACAACTTTACTAATATTGTTTGTTTCTATCTGTTTCATATATAGTGGCATTGGTATTTGCAAGAGAGTGAGTAACTTGTGGATTTTTTTCACTGTCTCATCATTTGTTATGAAATTTTGACTCTCCCAGCAATTATGGGAGATACAATTTTATACTAGTATGCATCATTGCTATTCTCACAGATACAATTTTTGCACTAGACATTTTAGTTTAGGGCTCCAAACCACTTTCTTGATAACCTTACGGAAAACCAAGTTGCCTGCTTAAATTGAGCTTACTTGTATATTTCTCTTTCCTCGGCTGACTGTCTGCCTACTTCTAATTTGTGTTCCAGGGCTTTCATTTTATACTACTGAGAAGACACTAGCAGAAGCATTTTCACAGTATGGACAAGTGATACAGAGTAACTCCCCCCTCCCATCTCTTAAAAAAAACTCGTTATAAAATGGTCATCAGAAATGTAGAATTGAGGAGAAAGAAGTAAAGTTGGGAATGTTTGATAGATGATTGTAAATTTGTAATGCTGACACATTTGTTACACCAATTTACTCCGTATATCGTAACCCCCCCCCCCCCAAAACACACACACACACAATACCCCACAAAAAAAGGTCCGTTATGCTCATTTTCTGATTTTTCTGTTTAATGATGCTGATGAGGTCTCTTTTTGACAGCAAAAATTGTACATGATCGTGTCACAGACAGATCTAAGGGTTTCGGATTTGTAACTTATGCATCAGAAGATGAAGCTGATAAAGCCTTGACAGAGATGAATGGAAAAGTATGTGTGTAATGCATATTAAGCTGCTCTGTGTTTCATTATTTACGACTTTGCAGTGGAAATAACTGTTGAAAACTTGCAGCAAGTACATGGGCGCGTTATATTTGTTGATTATGCGAAGCCAGAGGCTGGATTTCGTAGGGAAATGCCCATAGCACGAGGACCACCTGCTGCTTGATGCTGAATCTGTTGGCATAAATACATCAAGTGATGATAACATGAGTCCATCAATTTGGCTAACATGCTGATGCTAGGTACCTACACCCGATTCATAATATACCTTTGACAAAGCTACCAAGTCCAACCCATATAATATAGTGTTGGTTGGATATTCTAGTAATTTCAGGGCTGTTAGTTCATGGGCTTGTTTTTCATCCTTTTATCTCTATCGAGTATACTAGTCTTTGATCGTTGAAAGGCTCAACTGCTTCATGTCAATGGAAGTTTGTTAATGTCGACTAGCAGCCAGCACTTTACATCAAAAACTGCATTGCGGCTTAAGTTGAGAGATTGATGAAATTTCAATTTTCAAATCGCCTGTAGTTATTGTGTCAGCTGTTGATATAGATGAATAAGCTGAAGCTGATCTCAAGCTTCCATATCTTTACGTACAGGTAAGAGAGTTAATTGTATATACAGTTTCTCTGCTGAATGATTAATTATAGTCAAAGTTATTTCCTGTTTTCAATGATATTATTCCTGCTGTACTAATGGTACCAAGAAAAGCCAAATCAATGCCTGCATGATTTAAAATTTTGATGCAAATATATCCATGAATTGCACATTTATAGAGTTGTTTCTTAGCTACTCATCATGTGGGGGATTCATCGACATTTTCTTTGAGAATAGTCTGGGTTAGATGGATTTAATTTTCTCCTTGTTATATGCTGTTTCCATGCCTTTGTCATTCATCTGATAAAGATGATTTTGGTCGCGTTTCTATGATACGTTACAACTGGACTTAAACCTACTTTTGCTTCCGAAAAAATTGAAAACGTTATAAAGGCATGCCTTGCAAACTGCATGAGCAAATTATAACCTACTACCTGCCCTTGCCCCTGAAATGGGGCAGTGCACTTTGCATGGATTTCTTTGTTGAAGGAATCAGTGATAACTTACAAGGTTACAACTAGTAATATGTATAATTTTCTCATGCAAAATTTTAACCTTGTAAATAAGCTACCTGTATGCCATAGGTATTAGTGTTGGGTGTATCGGTGTATGTATTATTCAATTATCCAGCAGGTTAATGTTGAAATTTTAGATACGGGGATACTGCCCAAAAATTGGACTAGGATAACAACTAACAAGGCATAAACGGATCAAATTTTTGTTTTAATAGACGCTTTGTATATGTTTATACGCATTTTATAACTACTTGATTCATAATGCTTGTATTTGAAGCCTATGATTGTGCACATGTCGCAAGTGTTCTTCTTTTCCTTCCTTCTATGTGTATGAAACCGGCGTTAAAGTGCTGAGCTAGGATTTTATACGCTTATTGGAATATCGAAAGTCCAACACGAGTACGAAAGACAAATTGCAGTTCCATAACTACGGATGTACGAGTTCTATATTGTTGATGCATAGTATCGGAGCAGAATTAGAAGTCTAGATTGAGTTCTTTTCAAAAAAAGAAAAAAAAAAAAGTGTAGAAGGAGCTGACTGCTCGATCATAAATTGATTGCACCACCTTAAAGTGCGTGCCCTATCTTCTTGGAAATATTGTGATTATATGTGGTGTCTTAAAGTGGGAACCAGACAAATAAACAATGGTTATGAGATACGGTGTAATAAACAAATTCATACAGTATATCTACCCTATTTTTAATTGGGAAGTTGCAAATCTGAAATATACTGATAACTACCTCTTTGACTTGCGGCAATTTTTTAGAATTTTCTGATGCATTTCAATGATCTAATCATATATTTGGTTAACGTAGTTGGTTTTGGAATAACATGCCAATTTTGTTGGTTAAAATGCTTCGTCATAAAATTAAAATTTGCTACATTGTACTATTATCTCATTAATTAATTGAATGATGTTAGCAAAAGTAACAAAATATTTTGGATACTTCTATGTAATTTGATTGATGAATGACGGATTGACCTTGTCTTTTGAAGCCTCGAGCCATGGATTTTTTGTGATTGGTTTGTTCCATGATTAGTAGACCATTACATATTTTCATTAGTAGGGTTATCGGAATTGTTTTGAATTATCCTATTAGTTTATTTTAAAATGCCGTAGTTTATCTATAATTCAATAATTTTTACATGTCAACTTAACACGTCTATAGGGTAAAAAAAAAATTAGTCGCAATAGTATAACTGATAGGGTAAATGATTAATACGTGTTACTAATATTGCGAATAATAGGATATTACTTTATAAGGGAAAAAAAAATCATGTCAACATCGGTACGTATTAGTCATTTACCCTATTAGTAATACTATTGCAACTAATAGGCTATTGCTTTATAAGGTCAAAGTACAAGTATAGAAAAGAAAATATATTCCAAAGAGAGGAATAAAACAAAATTCGAGCACATAATACAATTCCTCAATTATTTTGCTAAAACGTCATTAAGTAGTTCATTTTTTTCATTTGTATGTATATTCTCATTTTTATCAATGTCCTTATACAACCACCCAAGGTCTCAAAATAGACCTTAAATAAAAGGGTGACAAAACATGTATGAAAACAAAACAAATTAGCAATATGGACTTTTTTGCATTGTAGCTAACATAGAAACTACAGCTAAGTGAGAAAAGTGAAGTAAACAGAATGCACCTAAAATCTGTTTTTAAAGAGCTAGTTTGATCGAGGCCGAGATTGATTATCTTGAAGAGAAACAAACCATGTAGAGAAAACTAACAAATAAGCACACACTAATTCCTACACACATGCTATCTAATCTGCCTTCTCTTTTTATCATGTTCTCTCTTCTCTCTTTCTTTCTTTCCAAAAACGCCAAGTATCTCTTCCTACCTTCTTCTACTCTTCCCTTTATACCTCCTTTACCATACAAATTCCCCCTTTTACCCTCCAACACTCTTTGCAAAATTACCAAACTATCCTTCCCATTCAAATGGGCCCCATCGATCCCTTCCATTTTTAGACAAGCCTCGGTCACGTGTAACACGAGGCCACCAGGACCTCCTCCCACGCACGTGACCTCCACACTACACATCACTTGACCTCCTACCACGGTGGCGTACCTCACGTGCACCTCCCCGCTCAGCCAGTGCCGCTCCACCGACACGGGGCGTAAGCTTGACAAATTAACCGCCCTTCTCGTTGTGGGGTCCACCACAATCCAACTCAGCTCCAGGTCAGCATAAAGATCTCGACACGTGTCATCATGACTTGGCCTTCTTATAGGTGTAGGAACAGACTCCTTAGGTCCCACCAGGTCAACTCTTAAGGGCGAGCACCGGAACCACCCGGTCACGGTTTCCGTCTCTTGAACCTTAGAAAGAATGCAATTTCCACGGTAAAAAACATCAACGGCTGAGATTAACTGCTCAGGTAGTGAAGAAGATGATAATGAAGGGTGAGGATTAGGAGAGAGAGTGGAGGGAAAAAGCGGGAATGAGAGGGAGAAGAAGCTTCTAGAACCGCCACCTGGAAACGAGGAGATGAGGTGGCGTAGACGTGGAGTAGTAGTAGACGGCCACGTGGAATGACAAATGTGGGACCAAAGTTCTTCATCGGAGGAAAGAGAGCGGAGTTCCGGTGTAGCGCATCCTACCGCGGCTAAGGTACACCCGTCTAAGCTAGGGAGTATGTGGGATCGGATGATGTCCGCCGGGAGGAGAGAGAATGGAGAAGAAGTTTTAGTTTGTGTATCTACATTGCTTGTGGTAGAGACGGCGGAGGCGGCGGCGGCGGCGGCGACGGGCGGAGGAGACATGGTGTTATAAGAAGTGTGAGTTTGTGTAGGAGGAGAGAAAATGGGTTGAATAGGAAATATTTGTGAATTGAGAAGTTCATATTATAGGTGAAGTATTTAAGGAGTGAAAGAAATCATTTTGTTTATTTGCTTCATTATTTTACTTAGATGGAATAATAAAATATAGTATAAATTTTTTATTATTTTATAAGATGATATCACATTGTTTGACTAATGTGGGATATTAAGTTGAATTACTCGGTAATGAATGCATAATGTATTTATTTATTTGTATAATGATTAAATAGTGTAGGTTTAGATATGAGTACAGAATGAGCAAATATTTTATGTGATAATACAACTCACTATACAAGCAAGTAGTACAAATATGTATAATGTACGTAATATTATTAGTATATGCATGTATTATCATGTTGGTCATTTTCGGAACATTTGGAGTTCGATGAGGAATCATGACATACTCGATCAAATCCTAGTGGTGATTTGTAAATGATTTTGTGGATTTGGAAGGTCGATCTCTATTAAATGCTCAAGATTTATTTGAACAAATCTCAAAATATTTCTTTTGTGTATTAAGTATTCTGTAATTTTTAAAGGTTTACTGATATATTGAATAATACACCGTGTTAATATATCTTTGTGCGTGTGACCCTACATGCTTAGATAGGGGTTGTAGTTTCATTTGTGTATTTTTAATATGAGGTATGGGCGTATGGCACAGGTTTCAAATAAGTATTCATCACATGCATGTTTTTATTTGATGAAATAATATAATTTTAAACATGTACAAAGTACTTTACACCCATAAGATACTAAAATGTATTCTCTCTGTCCCTTATTTTTTGCCCCATTTGATTTTTTACGGTATCAAGAATGTGTTTTCAAACATATATATCTCCATTTTTATACGCATAAAAATTATTAAAATTTGATATTAATAAACTATATAATGAGACGATTCTAATAAGATCTCACATGCATATATTATCACTTATAGATTAATGAGAATTCATGGTTAAAGTTTTAAAATTTTAACCCTTATTTTTGCAATGCGGCAAAAAATAAGAAACGTAGGAAATACTTTGTAGGATGTAAAAGCCTATCCATTAGAGAGGTGGATTTCATTTCTATAGGTGTCGACATTAATTGTATATACATTCTTAAACTAAATTAAATACATGAAAAATTATGTATTGATTTTCTATCCATATTACCTTCATACCTTGGTATTATTTTCGTATAAAGGAACTACCGAGTATATATCATTTAGCAAACTCCCAAGAAGTAAAATTATACTTCATACTAAGTAATAAGTAATATATATCAACTGAAAATAATGTAAATTTATACTTCCTTTGCTTTTTATTAGTTGCAACACTTCTCGTTTTACGTTTATTTGTTGATCATAATTTTAATCATTTAATTTCTAATTATAATAAATATGTAAAAATTATAAAAATATGATAGTATGAAATTATAAATTGACACAAATCTAAAAGATCTCACATGTGTATAGTCATACCATCCATACCATTACAACAAGTCAACAATATATATGTTTGGGTCTAGTCCATGTCTGAAGCCCAATATAGATCAAATGACACAAATACCCCTTCATAATCCAACTCATCATCCTTAATCATCCATCAATCACTCTAAAGTACAGATTTATTTCTAATCTGTCCAAGAAAGTACAACTTTGCCATATGAAAGTACATCTATAAATAGCAAGCCAATGATTAATGATGGGCAACTTTTTCTACTAACACTCTCTCTCTCTACTTTCTCTCACTACTTTGTTTTTGTAGAAAGTACTTTTACTAACTTCAGCATCAGAGGGGCGTTCCCGGGTCAACCCCCAGTCAGCTTACTCGAATTACCTTGTAGGCATACCTCGCGGATACCCCACCAAGGCGGACTTCAAGTATTTTTGGACATTGGACATCTCGCTTACTCGAAATACCCTACTTGTCGAGGAGAACTTCTGTTTCCAAAAACAATGTACAATATATTTTATGATAGAGTATAAAGCATATTCCTAGCCTCAACCGTCAGCTTAACCTTTTGGTTGATAGATCCTCCAACATGGTATCAAGAGCCAGCGTGACACAAAGATCACGGGTTCGAATCTCATTCACCCCTCCTTTCAAAGTGGAATAATGTGATAGAGTATAAAACATATTCGTAGGCCTCAACTATCAGCTTAAACTTTTGGTTGAGATGATCCTCCAACATTTTAGTAAACTTAAATAACTTACAATAAGCTAGAGTTACGCATTGACTAACAATTACACTAGGTTCAGATAAATCTAGTAATTTTGTACTTCCTCTATTCTTTTTTACTTGACATGTTTCTTTTATCACGCTTGTCAATGTAAAACTTAACTATCAATAACTTTAATTCTCCATAAGTAAAAATTATAAAAGTTATATATTATGTTAGTACTTATTGGGTCGAATTCAAAAAGATCTCACATGAATATGTTTTTCCTTACCTATTATTCACAAAAGACGGTCAAATGAGGGATGGTGAATAGTGTAAAAGTCAAAGCAGGTCAAGTAAAAATGAACGGAGGAAGTATAAGTCAAGATAAATTATGTAGCTTAGGTAGGTGAAAACACATTGTTTAAAAATCAATAATTTATGTAAGGTGAAAACACATTGTTTAAAAATCAATAATTTATGTGAGGTGAAAACACATTGTTTAAAAATCAATAATTTATGTAATTTATTTTTGAACTATTTTGATAGCGAAAATGATTTCGAGATCGTAGCTTTGAAGATGAATAAAGATTGTATATATATTCTACTACTTGACTGATTTTTCATTTGCGAGCACAAATTATAATAAGTCTTAAAACTATAATTCTTGATCTGTACACTTGAATGTACCATGCTCATGGTACACCCGGTAAAAATATATATATATATATAGCGGAAAGTACATTATAGTTAAGAGTAAAGAACATGGATGATAAAAAAAACAACACTCATTTGTAATGTACGCGCAAATTTCTCGAGACATCTTTTTTGGTAAAAAATAACTATCATAGATTTTTATCCCGGATTTAGTGCCATATCATAACAAACTTTTCACTTTACAGTAAATCATTTTCCAGTTTTTTTTTTTAAATTATTTTCAAGATTTTCAAAATTCAATAAATCATTTTAACTTTCAAAATTTCAGGTTCCAAAATATTTTATTTCATTTTGATTATTTAAAAAAAACACCCTAAAAATCATTTATATTTTTTCACCAAAAAAATCTCTTATGATATTCGTTTTAATGATAGCTAGTTATGTGTATTTCTTATCATGTTCTTTATATGATTCATATGCTCTTTATCCGAAAATATAATGTATTTGTATTTGTTTGTCATACATTGTACTACGAAGTATTAATTATTAACACTATATTCTTTTCGAATGTTCATTATTATATATTGATCTTTATTATTAGATCGTTTGATAAAATATTTAAAATATCCATGTTCTTCGATTATAATTGTAATGTACTTTTAATGTCAAATAGTGTTTATTGTTTATTCTGAAATGTTCTTTGAATTTTGTCTTTGAGTCAAGTTGGATAGTTTCACATAATGTTCATTGCATAATATTATCATATTCTTTATTAATATATCATGGATGTTTTTGATCCGAAAATAAATCATCAATAGAGGAGGTCCAAAAGAATATCGTCATCATCTATCAACCTTCATGATCCTGATTTCAACCAAAAAAAATACACAATTGATAAATGATAATCCGTATTCAAATAATGTAGTATTAATAAATGATACTTAATTCGTATTCAAATGATATAGTATTAATTCGTATTCAAATAATATAGTATTAATGTAGTATTTAAAATTAATTTTATAATAATAACAAATGATGGTGACAATTAATTTAAAAATGACATTTGATAGAATAGAAATTTATGTTACTCACTCAATGCCTACCAAAAAAAAAGGATAAAACATAATTTCCCAAAAGAATATAAGTATTAAAGCAAGCGGACTTGAACATTAAAGAATATATTAATTCAAGTAAAAAGAACATTATTCGTATTATTGAGACCCAAGGAACATTTTTAATCTACATATCTTAAAGAACATAATTTGTAAGGTAAAGAACATATAGTTACGATCCAATGAACATATTGATTATACTTAAAGAACATATTTTATTACAATAATAAAAATAAATAAATAAATAAATAAATAAAAAAGTATGGATAAGGAAATGATTAAAGAACATTTATCACAATCCAAAGAATATCATCTTCAACCGTTGACACATTGTTCTCAAATTCAACATACAAATTCATCAAATATCAAAATTGAAAATAAACATTGAATTCGACGATAATAATGCAAAATATTCTTATTAAAATCTAATATAACATAATTAATGATGAAAATTAGTATTAAATAAGAAATTTCATCCAAATTACCTTCTTCTTCTTTTTTTTTTTTGAAGGAACAATTTACCTTCTTCTTTGTTTAACATATCCTCAAATTCACCTTCATTTTCAATCACACAATTCGTACAACCATTTTTCTATTTCTCTCGCAAAATTCTATTTCTCTCTCTTAAAAAAATCAAAATACTGAAATATGGCAAAGACCAACAAACTCCGTACATTAAGGAGCGTATATTTCACATAACTAATTTTTTGCTGCTTTTTTTCATCCTCCTTAATTTAATGAGCATATATTTCACATAACTAATTTTGTGCTGCTACTTTCATCCGAGTGTACCATGAGCATGGTACACCCTGATGTACCATGTAATTTTCATTAAAACTATGCATTATTTGATTATACAGAGTAATATAATACAAAGTAGTAATCCACACACTTTGTGTATAAAAAACCTTTAAAAACATCTAGCGAGCTTTGATCTCACAACCTTGTGGATTTGATCTCACAACCTCCACCATACCAAGACTTTTTGCAATCTTGCTTGGTGTATCACAATTATATATTGACCATGCATACTACCAAAAAAAAAAAAATGTGTGTATTTTTCCAATTAGAAGTAAACGCCCTAAATAAATTATAACTAATTTTGGGGAAAAACACTCAAAAAAAAATTTCGAAAAAAAATACACCATTTTGGTCTTTTATGTTATTTATTGTGCAT